GAAGTTCAGATTAGGAGGATCATGTTTCAAGGCCAGTCCAGGTGAAGAATTTTGGAAGAGTCTAGTTTTTTTTTTTTGGGGGGGGGTCCGGTAGCGGGGCCTGAACTCTGGGCCTGGGCACTGTCCCTCAGCTCTTCAGCTCAAGGCTAGCGCTCTACCACTTGAGCCATAGCACCACTTCCGGCTTTTTTTCTCTTTGCTTATGTGGTGCTGGGGAATGGAACCCAGGGCCTCAGGCATGCAAGGCAAGCGCTCTACCACTGAGCCACCTTCCCAGCCCCAAAATGACCATTTATTGTACTTAATTTTAATATAGCCTATGTCATAGCATAATTTATTTTTATTTTATTTTTGTCCATTTTGGGACTTGAATTCAGGGCCTGAACTTTGTCCCTGAGCCTCTTTATATTCAACAGTAGCAGTCTACCACTAGAGCCATAGTGTCATTTCCAGTTTTTGAGTAGTTAATTAGAGATAAGAGTCTCATGGGGACTTTTCTGCTGGGGCTGGCTTTGCACCATGATCCTGAGATCTCACCTGCCTGAGTAGCTAGGATTACAGCCTTGAGCCATCAGTGCCTGGCAATCATAGCATAATTTAAAATGCTGAACATGGCTTTAAAAAATAAAAGTAGGAAATAAGTTACATTTTTAGTTTTTGAAAATTTGTGCATGTGTTCTTAACGATAACTATAATTGCTGCAAATTTCCTCATTTAACTTTAAATTCTGTTAATGTATCATTCATTCACGTGGAGGGGTAGAACCGAACTAAAGTGTGTGCATTAGCTTAGAGACATATTAGTAGTCAGACATATTAGTAGTGTTCAGCAGTAGTGTTCATCTTCTGCTTGCCAGTTCAGAAATTCAGTTCATTTTCATATAGAATATATGAATGAAAAAATTAGCTGGGCACCGATTACTCAAGTCTGTAGTCCTAGCTACTTAGTTTGCTGAGATCTGAGGATGGTGGTTTGAGGCCAGCACAAGCAAGAACGCCTGTGAGACTCTTTGTCTCCAACTACTAAGGAAAAAAAAAAAAGCTGAAAGTGAAACTGTGGCTCAAGTTGTACACTGCTAGTTTTGAGCAAACAAAAAGCTCAAATACAGTAGCCAGGCCCTGAGTTCAAGCCCTAGGATCAACACCAAAAAAAAAAAACAAAACAAAAAACAAAATATCATTCTGAAGCCGGGCGCCGGTGGCTCACGCCTGTAATCCTAGCTACTCGGGAGGCTGAGATCTGAGAATCGCAGTTCAAAGCCAACCCGGGCAGGAAAGACTATGAGAGACTCCTATCTCCAGTAAACCACTAGAAAACCGGAAGTGGCGCTGTAGCTCAAGTGGTAGAGCGCTTGCCTTGAGCTGAAGAGCTGAGGGACAGCCCCCAGGCCCAGAGTTCAAGCCCCATGAACGACAAAAAAAAAAATATATATATATATATATATATATTTCATTCTGATTTAGCCTCTTCAGATACTCTTACTTTGTGCTACAGTGTAATAAGATACCCTTACATTGTGCTTTGTGTAAATGTTATGAACTGAATCTACACAAAAAATATGTTTACAGGATAATGCCTCAGACTAATCATATGTCCATTTGTTACTATTACTATGTTTGTTAACAACCCTTTATCTCTAGTGCTATAAACTCTACTTAAAGCTAATTAAAATATCATTCTTGTAATAAAATAATTTTGCTTCACCAAATAGTGTATCCCTAAAACAGACTGTTAGCATTTGGGTTTGCTTAATTTAGACGAACAGGTTCCATGATTTAAGATGTGATTTTTTTTATCACTTTATTCAGTATCAATGTGCTTATCATTTGATTTGCCCATATTGTAGTTTAATAAACAACAATTAGGGAGTAAATCGCATGTGCAAACTATAATTCTTCTGTTTTTGTTGTTGTTGTTGTTGTTTTGTGTGTGTACATCCGTGTTGGTTATGGGGCTTGAATTCTGGGCCTTGGTGCTGTCCCTGAGCTCTTCAGCTCAAGGCGAGCACCCTACCACTTGGGCCACGGCATCACTTCTGTTTTTCTTTCTTATGGAGGCATGTTATCACTGTGTGAGCAAGTTTTGCCTGGCAAATAATATAAGCTACTAAGATTTCATTCTAAGCTAGCACTCTTCTCTTCCATGTCAGCTCCTGAAATCTGGGCCAGATTTATGCTAAGCTAGCACTCATTAGATCCTGTATTTATTTACCATTAACAGCATGTTAGTACTGATAATTCTGTAACAACTAGGCTAAAACAAATTTTGCTACTTAACAAGAAATGTATCTCAAGTATACCCCTTTATGTGCACATATATTATGATTCAAATATAGCTCTGATAAGATTAAAGAACAATTTCTAAACTATGTGTTCCATTAATGGTTTATAAAGTCTTCTGTTTAATAATGACAAACAGAATTGATCCATTGGATAACAATTCAGTCCCATATAGTATGGTGTGTGCAGTTTTTGACACTAGGAGGAGCAGTTTCCTGGAGAAAGGTTTAACAAAGACATACTATATCCCTTTCAAATAAGCCCAGCTCCTAAACAAGTGAAGAATAGAAG